AAAAAAAAAAAAAAAAAACCCCGTCCAAAAAAAAAAAAAAAAAAAAAAAAAGAAAAGAAAAGAAAGAAAAAGAAGAAGAAAAGAAAAGAAAGAGAATTTTAAAGCCTTGCTTGGTTTTGGTTTAGTTTTTCTGTTTGATTGGTTTTGGTGGGGTTTTCCTGCCGTTTTAGAAACTGAATACAGACATTGTGCAGGCAAACACCACACCACTGAGCCACATCACCCCCAACCTTACTTTTAAAGTCTTCTGCCATCCTCTGCCATCCTAATCTTTTCTCATTTTTTAAAGCTCAGCAAGGAGGGCTTTTTTTTTTTTTTTGCAAACAGGGTGTGCTAGAACCCAAACCAAGCACACCTGGGCATGGACATTCACTTGATTTTTATTCTAACACCTGTGGTGACTTTGTTTTGTCCCTGTCAGCTGGGGTCCAACCTCACAGTCTCTAGCCTTTGCCTAGTTTTAAAAGACTCAGCACAAAGGGAATCAAGGCAGGGGTCAGCCTCTCCAGGCCTTCAAGTTCTAGAAGTGCAGCTGAGCTTTTGTGGGAGTTTTGAGATAAGGTCTCACTATGTAGCCCTAGTTGTGACCCTCAAACCAACAATCCTGTCTCTGCCTCCTGGATGCTGGGTTTGCAGGCGTGTGCCACCATGCCCAGCTGCCTTTTTTTTTTTTTTTTAACTTTTTATTGATTGTTCGTGGATTTCACATCATGCATTCTGATCCCTTTCATCCCCTACCCCTTCATACCTGCCCTCTGCCCTTGCAACCTCCCCACCAGAATAAAATTGAAAAGAAAAACAAAAACAAATGAAGGTTTGGCTTGGAAGCTGTAGTGTGACACGTGAGTCATACAGTAAACTCTTTAGTCCATACAATTTATTGCAATGAGTCATTGGCCTAGCTCTAGGCTGCTGGTTTCTGCTACACCCTCCATACTGGGCCCTCACTGGGGCTCCTCCTGGGTATCCTGTTGTTGCCATGTGCTATATAAATCCTGTAACTTTGGATGTGTAGGTCCACCCAGCTGTCCTTTTAATTCCAGGACTTTGTGTGAAATCTCTCCCTATCTCTAGACCCTGTAGTCTTGTTTGTCGAAAGCATGTAGCAGTTACACACTTTGATATAAGTAATATCACCTATGTGCTGGGCAGATATGAAATATCAGTGGGCATTTTAGTCTGAAGACTCAGTCTTGACATTTTCTTTGAAAAAAAATTGTTTCTTCTAATTTTCTGCTTTCTCATTTTGTAATTTCTCATATTAGGGTATAGGTTTTTCCTAGACAATCATTTCTTTGTTTAGCATTTATTTTTCGGGGTGTGTGTGTGTGTGTGTGTGTGTGTGTGTGTGTGTGTGTGTGTAGGTCCAAGGACAAGTTGTGGGCCCCTGTTCTCTCTCATTATATGGTTCTGGCTTGATGAAAAAAAAAAAAAAACAAAAAAACACCTTTACCCACCAAGCCATCTCACCAACCCTTATTTCCTCTATGTTCCTCCCTCCTTCCCTCCCTCACTCTCCCTTCCTCCCTCCCTCTCTCTCTCCCTCATTTATGGGGCTCCAGAGATGGTTCACAGTGCTTACTACTGTTAGAGAGGACCCAAGTTTGATTCTCAGCGCCTATGGTGGGCAGCTCACAACCACCTGTGACTGCAGCTCCAGGGGTCTGTGATCCTCTTCTGAGGGCACCTGCACTTGGGTACCCAGACAGACAAAATTAAAATGTTTTTATTCCCCCTCTAGCTTCCCCTTTGTCTTTCTGTAGTACAGTTGTCTCTCCGTAGCTGCAGGGGATTGATTCTAAGAGACCTCCCTCCTATTTGAGATAACCAAACCTGAGGATATTCAAGTACTTTATATAGACTGACATAGTATTTGCAAATAACCTCCACATACTCATCAATAAGCTTTAAATCATCACTGGGTTTCCTTATACTTCCTAATATGATGTATATACTATATTATTCATTGTGTCTTGTCCCCCCAACCCCTCAAGTATTTTCCACCCATAGTTGGTTGAGTCCTGCCATGTATAACCTGTAGATTCAGAAGACTATTTTATTAGCCATATTTTCAGTCTGTTTATAGGTTTCATTATTTCTTCCAAAGGGAGAATATTCTTTATCTCATTAGATATTAATGAAGTTTTTGTTTTTCTTTTTTTTTGTTTGATTGGTCTTTGTTTTTGTTTTGAGACAGGGTTTCTCTGTGTAGCCTTGGCTGTCCTGGAACTAACTCTGTTACCAGGCTACCTTTAAGTAACGTGTTTTTCTTGGGTCAGCAAGATGGCCCATGGATAAAGGTGCTTGCCCACCACCTGAAGTTCAATCTCTGAAACTGGCATAGGTGAACATTGCCAACTCCCTTCCCCAAGGTGTCTTGTCACTTTCACACGCATGCCACAAGACACACACACAAACGAATGGTTTTAAGTGGCTTTTTATTTTTATTTTATGTGCCTTGGTACTTTGCCTACATGCATGTCTGTGTGAGGGTGTTGGATCCCCTGAAAGTAGAGTTACAGGCAGTTGTAAGTTACCATGTGGGTGCTGGGAACCGAACCCAGGTCCTCTGGAAGAACAGCCAGTGCTCTTAACCTCTGAGCCATCTCCCTGGCCTGTGTTTTTTTTCTTTACAGAGAGAAAAAAGTCATTGTGTCGTCCCCCGCCCTAATCTGTTTTCTTTTTGTCTGTTTGAAGTTCTGTCTTTTCATATTATTAGCAACTTGGAATGTTTTGCTCTCTTTGGAGTTAGGTGTGTAACACTAAAAGCTAGTTGGAAGCTGTGTGTATAGAGACCTTGGCAGCATGGGCATCACTTTAGATGATGTAGTTTTGGCATTTTATTGGAAATCCACCAACTATTACATCTTTTCTCTTGAGCTGATTGGCTCTCTGAAAGAGGGCTTTTCATTTCCTGCCCAGAGAGTATGAGCCTGAGTGCTGGAGTGAGAAGCAGTATAGAAGAGAAGTGATGTGGATGGTGCAACCTCTGATGTAGAAGCGTCTTCCGAGTTTCCGCCCTCCCCCACAGTGCCTGGCTTCCTCTAGTCCAGTCCTTCTGCTTTGTACATCTGGAAATGACCTTCTGGAGAGGGAGGGGAGAAGTTGGGTGTCCAGCTGGGGTACAGGGTCAGGAAAGAGAATTTGGAGACTAAATTCTCCTTCAGTGTGGTGCAGGCACTCTTGTGGCTGCATCCAGCCCTACCTAACTGATTCTGGAGGTTTCCTGCAGTAGGGGTCTGGGTACCAAGGCTGCTCTGCAGTGTCCTTGGCTGCTCAAACAGTGTTCCTGTCAGTCTTCTAAGTCATTAACTCTATTCTCTTTCCACCTTTCAGAACTGTATTGCTCCTGTGTCCTCTTGCTTTGGTTTTTGTTGGTTTATTTTGGTGTTTTAGTCTGAACTCTTGGTGTAGAGTGCTGGCATTAAAGGAAGCACCACACCTGGCCAGATTGTGCTTTTTTTTTTTTTTTAAGATTTATTTATTTATTTATTTATTTATTTATTTATTTTATGAGTGCTCTATCTGCTTGTATGCCTTTATGCCAAAAGAGGGCATCAAATCTCCCTACAGATGGTTGTGAGCCACCATGTGGGTGCTGGGAATTGAACTCAGGACCTCTGGAAGAACAGCCAATGCTCTTATTTTTTAGATTAATTTATGTTTTACATTCCAATCCCAGTTCCCCCTCCCTCCTCTCCTCCTGCTCCCCTCTCCCCACTGATCTCCTACCTCCCATCTGCTTCTTGGAGAAGGTAAGGCATCCCCTAGGAAGTCTACTAAGGCTGTCACATCATCTCATTGAGGCAGGACCAAGGCACCTCTCCACCCCCCACCCCGCTGTGTCTAGGCTGGGCAAGGTATCTCTCCATATAGAATGGGCTCCACTAAGTCGGTTTGTGCATTATTGTTAGATCTTAGACCAACTGCCAGTGGCCTCATATATTGTCCCAGTCACACCATTGTCACCAGTGTTAAGGGAATCCAGTTCGGTTTTTTGCAGGTTCCTCATTTGTGAGACCTGAGTCAGAGATCTCTCACTAGCTCTGGTCAGCTGACTCCATGGGTTTCCCCACCATGGTCTTGACTCCTTTGTTCATATTGTTGATCCTTCCTCACCTCAGTTGTACTCCAGAAGCTTGGCCCAATCAATGCTTAGTTGTGGATTTCTGCGTCTGCTACCATCTGTTTCTGGAAAAGGGTTTTAGCTTCTCTGGGGTTGTGGAGTGTAGGCTGGGTATCTTTTGCTTTATGTCTGGTATCCACTTAGGAGTGAGTACATACTATATTTTTGTCTTTCTCGTTTTGGGTTACCTCACCCACAATGTTTTTGTTTTGTTTTGTTTTCTAGTTCTGTCCTTTTGCCTGTGAAGTTTAGGATGTCATTGTTTCTTACTGCTGAGTAGTACTCCATTGTTAAATATACCACATTTTCTTTATCCATTCTTCATTTGAAGTGCATCTAGCAGCCGGTGTGCTCTTAACCAGTGAGCCATCTCTTCAGCCCCCAGATTATGCTTTTTAAAATTACTTTTTGCTTTATATTTGCGGGAGTATCAGAAAGTCTATACAGTGATTTGAATAAGGATGGTCCCCATAGTTTTATATATTTGAATACTTAGTCACTAGGGAGTGTAATTCTTTGATAAGATGGGTGTGGCCTTGTTGAAGGAAATATGTCACTGGGGGTGGGCTTTTAGCTTTCAAAAGCCCATGCCAGGCCCAGAGTCAGTCTCTCTCTGCCTAAGCATCAGGATGTGCGACTGGAGCTACTTCTCCAGCAGCATGTCTGTCTGCCTGCTGCCATGTTCCCTGCCGTGATGATAATGGACGAATCTCTGAAACTGTAAGCCAGTCCCCCAATTAATAAGAGTTGCCTTGGCCATGGTGTCTTTTCATAGCAATACAACAGGGACTAAGACAGGCTGGAAGAAATGTGGAGGATTTTGTTAGTTTTGTTTTAGACAGGGTCTCACTCTGAAGCTCTGGCTGGTCTGGAACATAGTATGTAGGCAATGTTCTAATAGGCTAGTCTAAATTTATGTTAGTTCTCCTACCTCTGCCTCCTAAGTTCCGCAGGGTTTTTTTGTTTTTTGTTTTGAGGGGGGGTGGGTTTCGAGACAGGGTTTCTCTGTGTAGCTTTGGAGCCTATCCTGGCACTCACTGTGGAGACCAGGCTGGCCTCGAACTCACAGAGATCCGCCTGCCTCTGCCTCCGGAGTGCTGGGATTAAAGGTGTGCACCATCAATACCCAACTAAGTTCTACAGTTTTTGTTGTTATTGTTGTTATTGTTGTGTTTTGGGTCGGTTGGTTGGTTTTAGGTAGCATAAAAAATAATGGGTTTCATTATAGCATATGTAGGTGTGTGTGTGTGTGTGTGTGTGTGTGTGTGTGTGTGTGTAAATAATTGTACTTTACTCATACTTGCTCCCCTTCTGTCACCCTCTCGGCATTGCTGCCCCCTCCTAGTCCCCTCCTGCTTTCATGTATATTTAGTTAAATAGAAAATACAGGGCATTTGTCTTTCTGTATCTGGCTTACTTCACTTAATCTTCATTTCTATCTACTTTCTTACAAATAATATGATTTTGTTTTTTATGGCTAAGACATGTATTTTCCAGCCTGGCATGGTAGTATACACTCTTTATCCTAGGAGGCAGAGGCTGGTGGATCTCTATGAGTTCAGGGCTAACATGGTCTATATGAGAGTTCTAGGCCATGTAGGGATACATAGTGAGACCTTGTGTTTGCAGTCTGTCAGCCATCACTGCATATTCTAATGTTAATGTTAAATATATCTTACAGGCATCTTTTCAACCTGTCCCATGGGATTTTTATATCAACCTCAAGTTAAAGGAACGTCTAAATGAGGACTGTGATCAGCTTTGTAGCTATTTTCAGTACCAAGATGGCCATATCGTTTGGTACCAATATATAAAGTGTTCCACCCTTCAGGTTTGTGATAATACTCAAAACATACAACTTAAAATGAAAAGAAATTTATACTAGATTTTTGAAAGACATTTAATACAGCTGGTGAGGTGGCTCAGCAGGTGGGGCACTTGCTGCCAAGTTTGATCCCCAGGACCCAAATTGTGATGAGAGAGAATTAAATCCTATAAATTGTTCTTCGGTTTTCACTTTCATATCATGGCATGTGCACACACACACACACACTCACTCTCATACCATGGCATGTGCACACACACACACACACACACACACACACTCACTCTCATATCATGGCATGTGCACACACACACACACACACACACACACACACACGCATGTGCACACACACACACACACGTGTGTGTGTGCCATGGTGTACATGTGGATATTCGAGGACAATTAAAAGTCAGTTCTCTCCGTGGGTTCCTGGCATCAGACTTATGTCAGCAGGCGAGGAGGCAAGTTCATAGACCTGGTTGGCCTTGAACTCAGAAGTTTTTCTAAGTGCTGGGATTACAGGTGTGCACCAACACATCGTCTCTAGATAAAGACAAATTTAATTACAATTTAAAAGTATTAGTGACTTCTTTCTCAGGTGATACTTGGTTGGCTGGTTGAGGTTTTTTGTTGTTGTTATTTGGTTTTGTTTTGGGTTTTTTTTGTTTTTGTTTTTGTTTGGTTTTTCAAGACAGGGTTTCTCTGTGCAACCTTGGCTGTCCCAGAACTCACTCTGTAGACCAGGCTGACCTCAAATTCACAGAGGTCCACTTGTCTCTGCCTCCCAAGTGCTGGGATTAAAGGTGTGCCACCATGCCTGGCTTTTTGTTTTTGGGTTTTTTTTTGTTTTGTTTCAGCACTGGGGATTGACCAGAGCACTGTACATCTAGGCAATTGCTCTACACTGAGCTACCTCCCCAGCCGCCTTCTCCAATGGTTTTGATCAAGTGCCTATTTGGTATTTTTTTTTAACATTTTATCCTGGGGAATGAATGAGTTACCTAACTAGAATAATTATTAACACATTTAAGACAAAATAAATTTTTTTGTCCTGACTATTCTGCCTTCCCTGCATCCTTTTAAAAATACAGACACGCCGGGCATTGGTGGCTCATGCCTTTAATCCCAGCACTCCAGAGGCAGAGGCAGGTGGATCTCTGTGAGTTCGAGGCCAGCCTGATCTCCAGAGCAAGTGCCAGGATAGGCTCCATAGCTGCACAGAGAAACCCTGTCTCAAAAACAAAAAAATATATCATTTTTTTCTTCACTTTGTTCTTCAAGTTTCCCTGCCAGAAAAAAAAAAGGTAATATTTTCCTTTATGTGTGTGTGTGTTCACATATAGGTGAGCATGCACATAACATGTGGCAATGAGAGAACAGCTTGCTAGAGTCAGTTCTCTCTGTGCACTGTGTAGATTCCAGGGACCAAAAGGATCTCCAGGCTTGGCAGGGACACCTTTCCCTTTCGTCCACAGTCTGTCTCATTACACACTTCCGGTCTGCAGGGGACCAGGGTCCAGCCTGCAGTCTGGTGGGGAAGGAGGAGATGCACAAAGCGCTGGTCATTGGGGGACAGTATTGTAGGTGCACCAGCTGGAGAAACAGTTTTCTCTCTGTCTGTTTCCAGGATCTTCTCCAACACAGTGAATTTGTGACTCATGAAATAATAGTCCTGATTATTTATAACCTCTTGACAATAGTGGAGAAGCTTCACAAAGCTGAAATAGTTCATGGAGACTTGAGTCCCAGGAGTCTGATCCTAAGAAACAGGTGAGTCTGTTGCTAGAGTTTTCTTATCCCTCCTGGTCCTGCAGCCCCTTCACAGTCCCAAATAAACACACTGATGCTATATTAGTTATAAGCCTGTTGGCCGATGGCTAGGGCTTCTTATTGGCTAGTTCTGTCTTAACTATTAACCATTTCTATAAATCTGTGTATTTCTACATGGCCTTATCTTACCGAAGAATGCCTGGCGTGTCCTATCCTCCCAGGATCTCCATGGCGTCTCCTCCTGGTCTCCCTCTGCTTACTTTTCCCCAAATTCTCCTCATCTCCTAGTGCCGGAGCTCTAGTGGCCAAATAGTATTTTATTCATCAACCACTAAGAGAAACATATACAGAAGGACATTGCCCATCAGTGGGTCCTTTTTATTTTCCTACATTGGCCGCCTTCCCCTTTTTTTTGAAACATAGATAATTGTCATATTTATGCCTAAAGTAAGTGTGGAAGTGTTTTCCCTGCTTGTTTGTCTGTGTACCACTTATATGCCTGGTGCCCACTGAGGCCAGAAGGAGGAGTCAGGCTCTCTGGACCTGGAGACACGGATGTTTGTAAACTGCCATGTGGGTGTTGGTAATGGATCCTATGTTTGTGAACAAAGGACCTTGCATGCATAAGGCTCTGGGCTTCAACTTAACACTAGGGAAAAAAATAAAAGGACCTTATCTTTTATTTAATAAACTTGCCAGGATATATTTTATAGAGTCATAAGATATTAAAAGCAAGAAAAGTCTTTTAATTGTTTTTTTTTATATATGTGTGTACATTTTTTGTATGTATGTATGTATGTATGTATGTATGTATGTATATGTTTTGTTCTTCAAGACAGGGTTTCTCTGTGTAGTCCTTGCTGGCCTGGAACTCAATTTGTAGACCAGGCTGGCCTCGAACTCAGAGATCCACCTGCCTCTGCCTCTCAAGTGTTGGGATTAAAGGCCTGTGCCACCATACCCTACTATATATTTTATTTTTTTATATGTGAATGTTTGTCTGTATGTGTGGTGTGCACCACATGCATGCTTAACGATGGGTGGAGTTCAGGAGAGGACATAGGACCCCAGAACTAAAGTTATGGATGATTGGTTGTATACTACTACCATGTGGATTCTAGAAATTGAGCCCGGATGCCCTGGAAGAGCAACAGGTGCTCTTAACAGATAAGCCATCTCCAGTGCTCCCCAAGAAAGAGACTTCTTTTAAAAAACTATATATACAGTCTTCAGCCTGCATGCCAGAAGAAGGCGTCAGATCTCATTATAGGTGGTTGTGAGCCACCATGTGGTTGCTGGGAATTGAACTCAGGACCTCTGGAAGAGCAGCCAGTGCTCTTAACATTTGAGCCATCTCTCCAGTCCGAGAGAGACTTTTGAAGTCACTCAGTTTATTGTTTACAAAACTTGTGAGGAAGATGAGATCAGCGATTGGGGGCAGGGGTGAGACTATTGCTCGGTGGTAATGAGCAAACCTGGGTTTGATCCCCAGGGAGAGGGGGAAGAAAAGAGGTTTTGCCCTTGGCAATGTGAGTAGTTGAGGAGAGAGAGAACTAGAGGGTAGCCATGCTCTTCATTAATCTGGAAACACTCAAGCTCACAAAAAAATGTTTTAAGTGATCACAGTTTTAGGAAACAAAATTAAGTTGGATCTATGCCAAGGAAAAATGGTTGCTGCTGAACTCTAAAATGCTGCTGCACAGGTGTGCGAGCCAGGTCACGGGAAGCCTGGATCTAAGACCTGCATTTGTAACAGTGAGCAACTGGAGGAACTAATAGAGAAAGCAAACAAAAGAAACATGTGAAAAGAGTTGTTTGGGTTTTTTGTTGTTTGTTTTGTTTTGTTTTGTTTTCCTCTCAGGCAAATTGTTTCCGGATATCCATATCAAATAACTATTGTATGAAATATACCTACTTGATAGTAAGGTTGTGTTTTGAATTATTTTCTTAGGAAGTAAGAGATGGGGTTACCAAAAAAGTAAGGAAGAATATGTTGTTGATGTAATTGAAACAGGAAAATTTACAATATAGATAGTAGCTCACTAGAAAATAACATTATAAGTTGTTTTTCATTAACCTTTAGAGGAAGAACCTTTGCTACTTGGAAAGCCCACCTATTTCAGTAACAAGAAGGGTAGTGTCACCGGCATGGGGCAGAGCCTACTTCTACTTTCAGTACTTCTGCATAGTACAAAAACTTGAGAGTGTCCTGTGTGGCCATACTCTGTGGTTTACATTAGGTAGATTAACCCTGTGGGCTGGCATTGCTATTACTTCTCCGTGTGCACTTCCATAACTAACCACTGGAGGGTACTGTTGGCAAGGATAAGACACATCTGCAGTCCTAAAAGGAAAAAACAGCGGCTCTGCAGCTGCTTTCACAGCCTGTTTCTATTATCTCCTCTTGAATCTGGCTGCAGAATCCACGATCCTTATGATTGCAATAAGAACGATCAGGCTGTGAAGATCGTGGACTTTTCCTACAGTGTTGACCTGAGGGTGCAACTAGATGCTTTTTCCTTCAATGGCTTTCGGACTGTACAGACCCTGGAAGGACAAAACATCCTGGAGAACTGTTCTCCCTACCAGGTAAGTGGAAGAGAAGACTGAGCAAACATGGAGAACATTTCTGTATCTAGATAAGCTATGAAAGCTAGTATTTACTGCCATTGACTCGCCTAGAAAAGATGACCTCGTTTCCAAATATTGTAACACAGCTTTCAAGGACATAAATACACACATGGAAATACGCAACTCAGTAACTAAGTGCTCGGGACATTTCTTTTACTCACCATCTGTGCCGTCTCTTACAAATCATCCTCTTTGCTGTCCCTCTGCAGTAAAGACAGTAGCCTCTGCTCTTTATATATACATCAGACTTGGAAGGTTAAATGCAGTGATGTACATGAAAAGAACTCTAGGGCAAATGTGAGGAGTCTTATATGATTGTATTGTATGCAAACATATCTTCTGGACATAAGATGTTTGCTGATTGGATAGGGTAGGTCACATTAGATCACAAATGGAGCCCACGAAGAATGGAGTAGGTGTGCTGATGTGATTTGGTAATCCAGGTTATCTGTTGTCTTTGGCTCTTAAAAATAATTCTTAAGCCAGGTGGTACATGACTTTAATCCCAGCACTTGGCAGGCAAAGGCAGGACAATCTCTGAGTTTGAGGCCAGCCTGGTCTGCAGAGTGAGTTCCAGAACAGCCAAGGCTACACAGAGAAACCCTGTCTTGCAAAAACAAATAATAATAATAATAATCCCTTATGTTATCTCTGGTCATTTCTTTGAGGGGCTTCTGCCTATCCTGTAAAGATAAGAACATCTACTAAAATATGTCATAAAATACACAGTTAAGCTCTGGCATGCTTTTCAACTCTTATATGAATAAGTTTATAATAGAAGCAAAAATGACTTTAGCTCATGGTGTGTTTTGTGATTTCAGGTAGATCTATTGGGTATAGCAAACCTAGCACACTTACTGTTGTTCAAGGAACACCTACATGTCTTCTGGGATGGGCTCCTCTGGAAACTTAGCCAGAATACTTCAGAGTAAGTAACATCCTGCAGTTTCCTCCCCCCTGTAGTTAATCTTTTCTCTCTTCAGTGGTCCCTGCTGTGGAGTAACCTTAATTTCCTGAACCTGTTACTGTGATTCCAGTGATCTCTCTGTGCGTTTGCTAGAGCTGGGGAAAGAACTGCTAACTGAAACTAAGTCATGGACTCTACTGACATTAGAGCATTCTGAACCTTGGTATATCATATAGGAGTATGGAAGTGTATTGTTTTAGAAATATTAGAAACCTTTTAGAAGAATAATTTTCTAACCATTGGTGTTAGTATTTTTAACAATTGTGTTTATCAAAAGTTAATTGTCTTTTGAAGAGAGTTAAGTTCCCACGTTAGATTCTAATTTTAGACTTATTTTTTTAAGGAGTAGGTGGAGCCAAACCATAGAGCAGACTCTTCTGGTGCAGAAATAAATGATCTCTCAGAACCCCCGGACTCCTCAGGCCTGCTTGTGAACCTCTTAGCTACCATGTACTGTTTAAAGTCAGCTCCACCAATGGCTTCCCACAAGATGCTCACCAACTAATGAGTCACTACCCGTGCTTGAGTTGGTCTTCATTTTAAATCAGGGTTGAAGAGTTAGTGCCCCTTTTCCTACTTTCCTCTCCAAAGCATTAAGTTGCATATTCTTCTTCTTTTGATTTAGAACTTGACCAATCACATTTGTCTCTTGTATGTATTTTTAAAACAGGTGTGAGCCTGAGATGGTGGCTCTTGCCTTTCATCCCAGCACTTGGGAGGAAGAGGTTCAAGGCCAGCCAGGGTACACAGTGAAACCTTGTCTCAAACAACAGCAAAAATAAATTAATGAAATAGTTTGAAGCATACTTTGAGATGTGTGGGACTAATAGGCATCTCCAGTTAGCTATGGACCAGCTAGGTGTGGCTAACACAAGCAGAAATAGACGGGGTGACTTGGCTTTTTCTAACACCCCTGCCCTCCAGCAGTGGATGTTTTTGGGTAAAGGGCAAGGAGAATAAGTAAGTAAGTTACTTCAATCAAGTTGAGGATTCCAAGACCTGTGAGGGTGACAGACCCCTGAGGTGGGAGTGAGGAAAGCTAGAGGGGAGACAATGTCTTTGTACCGTTTGTAGAGAGACACTAGGAGTATTGCTGCATCTTAGTATACAGAAGAGATCTGCAGGCTCAGGTGAGAGAATGGCTTTCCCTTTATGTGCATTCCACACCACCATGGTAGACTGGTTTTGTGGTTCTTCCCTGCACTCTCAAAAAGAGTGAATGATCTCCAACCTTAGATTTCTGGGTATTACCCTACATCACTTTGGCACATTCCTGTACTGCGGAGTTAAACTGAGAAAGAATTCTACTCTTCATATGACTGATCTTGACAGAAATGATTTTTATATTTTCTTAGGCTAAAGGATGGTGACTTATGGAATAAATTCTTTATGCGGATTCTGAATGCCCATGATGAGTCCACGGTGTCTGTTCTGAGGGAACTTGCAGCAGAAATGAATGGGGTTTTTGATACCACGTTCCACAGTCACCTGGACAAAGCCTTGTGGAAGGTGGGGAAGGTAATTAGTCCTGGAGCTTTGCTCCTTCAGCAAGACCAGCAGTCAAGCCTCTCCCAGAGCCCTGTCGTTTAATTGGAGCACACTTACACACACTACCAGTCCTTTCTACCAGAACTTTACTCTAAGTGGCAACTTTTAACAGAATGCTGTTCCCTGACAGCCTTATCTGTTTGATTCAAAATGGATTTCATACAAATGGGTACTTCTTAACCCTTTTGTTTCTACTTTCCCCTCTACTTTTCTCTTTTGTAATTTTATAACATGTACTCTTGCACTCACCATGTATTTTATAATAAAATAGTTTTTGTTAAATGTGTGCTTCTGGCATTTCATCTACATTTGCAAACTAAGGTGGTAAACAGTTTAGTTTTAGAGAGGAGTTATTTTACCATGGCACTTATGTGTCCTAGATTTAGAGCAGCTGCCATTGGGTTATGACAAGCCAGCTGGCTGGCCATTTCTTCTTTAGGTTCTCCGGCCTTCTAGCAGGTGTTCAGATGGAGAGCAGATCAATGATGTACACAAGTTCAACTTTTCTGAAGTTTCCAAGTTGTATTCTGTGCGTGACTCACATCTGAGTATTTGTAGTTTTATTTTGTAGCTGCTGAACACATTTTCCAACTTGGAATGGAATGGAATACTCACCTTTCTGTCATTTCGTGTAGAAGGAAGCAAGGGTTGCTGAGGGGACAGGATAGAAGATGGTTTTGCTTGACTTTCGGAAGCAGGGGTCAGAACATAAAGAGGACTCTAAAGTGTGGACTGATTGGAAAAGAGAGTAAGTCTGTTAAGCCACTGGGTACCCAGAGAGCAGCACCAGCTGCACTTGGCCTTGAGGGTTTTGTTTTTTCAATAAGGGTATGAAAACCATCTAGTTGTTTATTTCATATTAAAACATCAAAGTTATCTAATGCTCCTCATGCTAGTGCCTGATTTTCCCCTTACAGTTGTCACTAATATTGCTCTAAGAATGCTAGAAAGCAGAAAATACTAAGTAAATGTCTCAATTAAAAACTTTAAGCAAACTGTATGGTTAAAGTCATAAAACATGATTTGGATCTGAATGATAATTAAACAATACTTTCTGTCAACCAAAATACAACTCTTCAAAGATCTTTGCTTCTTATACTGAAGATGTAGAATGATGGCACTCTGTCTTTCTGTAATCAGGCCCCTTTCCTCTGCCCTCCTTGGTTCTCAGTTTCCTACATTGACCCAGGAAGTTTAGAGCTTTTAACATAAGTTACCATCAAGCGAATTCTTCAGCAGGCTAGACAGCAAAATTGATATACGGACAATCATTTGTTTCTACAAATACAAGTAATTCTTTTCCAGTCCTGTGGGTGACTTATTTACTTTCTTCAATCAGGTGCCTTCTCAAATCTCCTCTGGACTAGAGTGGTCCTCCCTGACCTTCTTGAGCAATATAGTGTCCCATGGGCTCACTGTCACTTCCTGTCATTGTTTGCCTTTGTGTTTCCCATAGCACCTTTTACATCTTGTGCAACCAGGAGTGATCCTCATGTGTTCTTGTATATACAACCCCCCTTTCTGTATCCCACTACTACAATTTAAACTCTTTGAGGGCAGGAATTTACATTAGTTCTTAACTCTGATCCCTAAAATAGCACCTAAATAAATAAAACCATTTACCAAAGTGCAAAAAATAGAAGAAAACCAGAACAGAGACAGGAAACAAACAACCTATTAAGACATATAAGTGAGAACTTCAGCGTCCACTAATGAAATACATTGAAGATTGTGTTGATGAGGAGCTGGAGACCTGACTCAGGTTGAGAATACTTGACTTAGGTTTGGTCCCAGGACCCACATGGTGGCTCCATTTCCAGGGGATTCAGCACCCTCTCCTGATCTCTGAGGGCACCAGGCACACATGTGGTATGCATACATACATGCAAGCAAAACACTCTCAAAAGTCTGATATGTACATTTTAAGTATGTAGATTATACATATTAAAAACATACTAGTGAGATTAAGGAAGCAGTCACTCATTAGCAGGTTCATTCTTAGAAGCCAGTTTGACTATCTTTTCTAAATTTAAATGTTGTCTAGCTAAGAAATTACTCTTAAGAATTTATATTACCTAGACATTGACATGGTGAGCTAACACTGCCCTCATTGCTTCCAAGACTCATTTTCCCCAGTGGGGTGACCCATGTGACCAAGACATCTGCCATTAGCACCAGTTTGCCTTGAGTCCTCCTTAGTGATAATAAAACCTGAGTCAAGCTGTCACTGCCAGCTTGTGTTTGGAGAAAAAGGGTGCCAGGCGCACACCTTTAATCCTAGCACTGGAGGCAGAGGCAGGTGGATCTCTGTGAGTTCGGGGCCAGCCTGGTCTACAGAGCCAGTTCCAGGACAGCCAAGACTCTGTCTCACAAAGGAAGGAATGAATGAATGAAAGCCTGGGAAATTTAGGAAGCTTTAACATTTTCATTTCTTTATTCTTGGAGATTTGTTTATTTTCTGTGTATGGGTATTTTGCACATATCTCTACTCATCACATTGATTCGGTGCTCATGGAGGTGTCAGACGCCCCGGAACTCGGGTTACCGTCGTTAGCTGCCATGTGGGTGCCGGGAATCCAACCCAGGTCCTTATCAGTATTACATTTGTTTTTTTTTTAAGATTTATTTTATTTTATTTCGCATATATATATATATATATATATATATTTATATAAAAAGAGCAATAATGGCAATATGTTATACATCAATAGCAGCAACAGCTTTTCCAGGTTCTGTAGTCCTTTGAACAAAATAGTAGAGACATCCAGCACACTCCATTTTAAAAAAACAAAAAACAAACAAAACAACAACAACAACAAAAAAGTAAAAAACAAAATCCCAGAAGACAGCACAGTTCTGTTACTCTTGTGGTACTTGGCA